TTCCGAGCGGCGAGTTTCCTCGCATCAATCCATCTCTGCAGAGCTCGGTTCTTGCCTGTGGTGTTTTGACGAGGAGGGTGCAGCACTCCCTCCCCGCGGTGCCCGCGGTCGTCTCCCTTCTCCCGCGAGCGGTGCTTACTGACGTGGTGTTTACGAATCTCTCTACTCCTTCAGCTTCGTGGGCCACGCTTTCCGCGACGGTGGTTGCCAGGTGCAGTTTGCCGCTTTGCATTACTGCCGCGGGAACAGTGTCCATACACACCTCTCGCCACTACCACCGTCTGTGCATCCTCACCGCCACGCTGAGCCAGCGCGGCGGTGAGTTGCACCTTGGGACACCACCCGCCTACTATCTGTTGTGTCCTGGTTCGCCCGCGAGGGACTCACTAGGTCGATTTCGGCCCCGGCCGGGGAGCAGGCCGAGGAGGGGGAAAGGTGGGAGTACTGTACGGTGACGGGTTTAATGTTCGGATGGATGCGTGCAACCTCAAGTTCACCCCATCCTCCAACCCTACCTTGCTGTCATGTACTAAAGAGCTGATTCCATTCCTCGACATCAGCCTGCATGCGGCCTTCCCGTTTCTTGTTCTTTGGTCTTGTCCAGGTGACAGGGTCCAAAGCTTCATGCAGGAACACACGGACGAGATCACGGCCCTGGCGGTGAGCCCTTGCGGCAAGTGGGTCGCCACCGGAGAAGCGGGTGCCCAACCCAAGGTGAACGGAAAGATTGAGGGTGGATTCCCGCTCACGTCTTGTGCGAACTCTCCACCAATTCCCATGCGCAACCTATTCCCCCGTCACGGTAGGCGGACCTGCCGCTTCTGCATTCTCCCGTGACAGACACCACTTGCTGACACAAGAAACCTTGCCTGCTTGGCCGCACACACAAACCCCTGTTCCCAGGTGTTTGTCTGGAACGCCACAACGAAGCAGGTCAGGATGACGGCCGCAGGTTTCCACACGGTAGGCGTCGCCGGTCTGGCATGGTCACCCTGCGGGAGCCTGCTGGCCTCCGTCGGGGCTGACGAGCATCACTGCCTGCAAATCGTCGAAGCGGCGACAGCACAGCCTGTCTTCGGGACTCGGTGAGGAACATTTGCGACTACACTGCACTACAAGAAGTCGGATTCGGCGAAGAGAAACAGTCTCCTGGGAAGAGGTTACGTAGAAATTCCTTGAGGAGATCATAATTCTCGGTGGAACAGAAGTATAAGGTTGCGAGAAAGCCTTTCTTGGGGACGGAAATAATCATCAAACGACCGTTGCTTCAGCTTTCGAGCGGGGTTGTGGAAGGGTTGGAGACGAGAAATGGTCATGCGCCGACGTCACGTTTTGCAATCAAACGAGCATTCGCTTCGTTGGGTCCTTCTCGCGAATATCACGACCACGAGTGATCCCTCCGTATGTGTGGCGAAACTCATTTCTGGGCTGTCACAAAGGCGGATCCGACAAATGTATCTTGAGGGGAGGGGAGGGAAGGGCGCCGCATACTTTAACCACTTCGTATCGGATTGTTTGCAAAATATTGGGGTATCGCGGGGGGTAGTTGTTGCTGCGCGGGTCATACTTGGGAGTCGAATGGGCGTGTTCGTGAGCATGCTTGAGGAACGGACGGTTGAACCCTCGGAATCCTTCCGTGCGTCCCCGTATCGGAGTTTTTCGATAAGAAGGGAGATAGAAACTGCGCGCGACGGCTATTTCATGTGATCGAAAAACAGAACAACAATGAAACGGCGCTAGCCCTCTTTCCACTCACTGAGAGACCGGGGATCGAGCTTCATGACGACTGCTCCCACGCGAACCCTGCCCCCGACCCAACTCGAAACAAACCGGCGTGTATCTGTACCCCAAGGGCTGGCTTGAGTCGACCGCTTGGCATGGCGTGGACCGCGGACGGCAGCTCTCTCGTAACGTGCGGCCAGACGCACAAGGACAGCCCTCCCCTAGTGTTCTGGGTGAAGGAGGCGTCGACGGGTTCTTTCGCCAAGCAGAGGCGAGTCGAGACCGCTACAACCGTCGAGTATTCTGCGTTAAATTGGTTCCCCAATCCAAAAACTATTATGATCCCGGGAAATACATCGCCATACCCTAGCTAGGTCATAGTGTAGCGTTTTCGAGTATTGTAGGTCACCTGAGGTGAACACTATTCCAATGGAGTGGGTGTAGACAGAATGTTCGGTCGAGGAAACGTTGAGATTTTCTTTTGCGTTTGCTTCGGAACAACATGTGTAGGAACATCATTTCAGCTGTTCTCTCGCATTTCCAGTCCAGCTCAAGAGATGAAATCAGCCAACCACGCGTATTGTCCTAGGGAATCTCAGTGTCACTCCAACTCTGTGTGCATGTCCTCCAAGCTCCCAACACATCTTGAAAATGATCGTTGCCCCCCAAAAAAGTTGTCTGATGTATCGATGTGTGTTACCCCTCCCTCTACTTCATATTCTTGTGGGACCTTGGTAGAGGCATTGCTCGAGACGGAAACCTTGCCCCGTCTTCTGACGTCCAGCTGGTCGTATGCGCCGCCCCGGGTGAGCGATGCAGTGACGTTTTGATGTTGTTGTTAATGTTGTTGTTGTCGTCGTTGTTATCGTTATTGCCGCTTCTGCTGCTGCCATCGTCTTTGTTGTGCATCTTCGCCCTGTACAACGGCGACGGTGTTCGTGTCTGGCATGCACCGATAGGCTTCTAACATCCGTGTTACCGTACACAAGCTTGCCGTTGTCCGGTTACTTCATCGGGATCAAATGTCTTTCTCTTGCCGCAACTTCAATCACCGCCGTCGCATACAACACCTTTCTGACCTACCCCACTAGGAGCCTGAACCGCTCGCATCGCACATGTCAATTACACGCTCAACGTCCATCATTGACAGGTCTACGGGGAACCGCAAACGCCAATCTTCCTCCTCGCATGATCTCCGGCACCGCCAACGGTGGCCTGTGCCTGTGGACGGGGCGTAACTGTTCCAAGGCTGTCAAGGACGCGCACTCCGCGGCGTTGGAGGTTCTGTCGGTCGGGACCGTCGCTGGCGGCGCAGTGGTCGCTTCGGGTGGACGCGATGCGAAAGTGAGCTTCGTCTGTTGTCGTTGTTGTTGTTGTTGTTGTTGTTGTTGTTGTTGTTGTTGTTGGGGTCGTTGGTGTTGGTGTTGGTGTCGTTGTTGTTGTTGGTATAATGGCCGGAGAAGTGTTCCTATGGTACGACGCTATGCTCGTGATCGTCTAGTGGAATTCTGTTGCAGCGCTGCGGAGTTTCGGTCTTCAAAAAGGTCCCAAGCGTTCCGTCGTGGGGGGTGCAAACCTGCGAAACTCGTCGTTACATCCGCCATTCATTCCATCCACCATCCCGTCTAACTTGATATTTCAAGATCGCGGAAAAATCTCATCCGTTGCGTGGTCATCTGCTCCAGGGGGGGCGCAACATCCCACTGAAGTCATTTTCACTGCACCTATCGAGTTTGCTCACACCTGATGCCTCATAGTCGGCAACACTCACGGAGTTCACCCACGTGGCACATCTCAGGTAAAGTTGTGGTCCATCGTCGACCTGGCGCCCCTGGCTACGCTCGACGTCATGGCGACGCCGTCGGTGGCTGGCCTCCGACAAGTTCGGTCGATCTGCCTTTCCTCGGACGGCACCAAGGTTCTCGTGGGCACCCTCGGAAGCGACATCCTCGAGCTCGCCACGGTCGAGAAACCGAGCGGGGGCGAGGACGGCGAGGAAGAAGAGGAGGTATGCCTCTTGTGTAGAAACAAGCATCAAATGCCCCAATACTGTTTCCCACAGAGTAGGCAACACAAGGACTACGTTTCGTGCCACTTGTTCAACTTTGAAGTGCACCCGTCAACGCTCCGTGTACAGGTTGGTTTGCGCCGTAGCTCGAACTCGTGGTACCGTGCCAGGAGCATGTCATCCTTACCCTCGAATGAGACCGTTACGCGAACATTTTGAGTTCGACAATAGAGTCTCGACAAAACTGATGTACTCACTCCGTCCAAACCCTATGCGCGGATTGCACTCCACACGCGGGCAATAGCCGCCGGCCGATGCGGAAGACGGAGGAGATGGTGCTGCGCCGATGGCGAAGCCCTCCGGAATCGGTCGAGTTCTCAACGGGGGGAAGCCTCTCGCGTGCGGGCACTGTAAGGGGGAAAGGGCCGGGGCCGGGGGAGAGCTGCGGGGCATCGATGTCTCTCCGCAAGGGGTGAGTTGTGGGGCACGCAACCAGTGCACCAAAGTGATACACATCCACATTATTATCAGTCAAGTCCTGTCCAGCGGTATCATTCTGCCGCGAGGGAGGAAAACAAAAGGGGGGCTCAATGAGAGAGTTGCAGCAGGTTTAACGTGTGGATGGGGATATCAGGGTGGGATAAGTGCAGTAGGTGTACTCACAGGTGTACTCATAGTCGTGCATGCCGTAGTCGTTAGACCATTGACCTCGCATCCCTACAAAGCCGGGACGGAGCACGCCGGGTTCTCACCGGACCAGGCTCTCACATCACCAAGCGCGAAGCGCCGTGAGATATTCGGCGAGTCGCATGAAGGGTGCGCTGCATCCTGCTAAGGGTTTTCGGCATCTTGTGCTTACTTCCTTGCGTACGGATGACAGCTGCGTATGACTTAGTTTATTTCCTGGTGCTTTCACTTCCAGAGACAGTTGTAAGCACTGTGTAACTGCCTCGAGGGTGCTTGACCATTTTAACACAACGTGGTGCGATCATCCCCCTTGCGCGGAGTGAGGGTTCTCGGCCCGCACAACATGATCCACTCGACCATCATCATGGTTACCGCCAAAAAAAAAACAGAGGCAACAAAAACAACGGTAACCTGGTTGCCGAGCTCACGAAGTGACTTGGCTTGGTTTACAACGTCGTTGCCAAGCGACGAAAACCCAACCCCGATGGCAAACACCGGGGGTAGTAGGATGGGAAATTATATGGGAGGGTTCAAGAAGGCGGGTGGCGTGGCGGGTATTACCCACTAAGGCTCACGCATATACGTGGCCGCAGTCAAGATGAGTAAGCTTCGAAACAACGGCAACAACACCTTTGTCAGGACCAATTCGCGACGGTGGGAGACGACGGAACGGTGCGCGTTTGGTCGAACGTCGACAAAAAAGTATTGAAGACTTTCAATATCGGGTGGGTGGACGTATCCCAGTCGGAGATGTTTTCCTAGAATCAGTATTAAATTGTTTTAGTGGGTTTGATGTCGTCTGGAAGCCTCACGTAGCTTTAGGATGATATCCTGTACCTGCTGCCACGGCTCTAGTAGACGAGGAGAATTGCTTGAATAGGAACATATGTTAGTTGACAGGGGTTCACTCGGGCTTCGTACTGCGTTCTTCCTATCGGTGCGTCGTTTCCATGTGTCGTTTCGTGAATACATCTAACGTCACATCAAGAGCGTAGTTTGAACGTCACGGGCGGCAGTACCTAGAACAGCAGCGGCAGCAGCGTAGGTCACTTTTCACTAGCCATCCTGTATATCAAGTCAAAGCTTGATAATCACACGCAAAGAGGCTCGACTGCGGGCCCACACAACAACACGCGACGACGCTGTGGCGATATCTCAACATGCTGCTGCGCAGCTCCCCGACGCTGTCGGTATCGTACTCTCCGGATGCATCTCTCATCGCGGTTGGCTTGGCCGGGGGCGGCGTGTCGGTGGTGAAGCCATCCGAGGAAGACGTGACGACGCTTCAGCTTGAAAAGGTGTCTGACATTTGAATTCGTGAGGGAAACGGACGGGATCATGTAGCAGCGAAGAGAACATCACTTCATCAATATTCTTTGAGGGTTTCGTTTCGCGAAACTCGTAGATACCGACGTTCTGGCTTCAATGTCAACGGAGTGTCTGGGGCTACTTCTGTCATTATGTTTTTCAGGTCGTAGTGTCGATCGCAAGCATCCCTCGTTTCTCAAGCTTCATTCGTTATCAATGTTCTGCTCGTTGACGCATGGTTTCCCCTTCGCAGTTTCCGAGCATCTCCGAGTGAAATCAACCGGTGCCAAGAGCACCGGAGCACACTGGTGCCCACCCCCGGAACCTTCTCACATTCTAGGACATGATTTTGATCTCTTTCCGTCGCAACAAGTCCACAGCAAAGCGATACTGGATACCTGCCTTTCATCCTCTTGACATTGTTGCTGTGTTTTTCGGGATCGTTTTCCTTTTTTGGACTTATTCTGTTGACGCATCTGTTGCCTTTCAAAAAGGAAGCCCTCCGCAATATGTGTTCGACCGGTTACGCTCCTGGAGGCTTTTTCGAAACAAAAGGCACTGTTGACTCTCCGCTATTTGTCGGCGTGTTGGACATTGCCTAGCAACTTGACGCGTTTCAAGGGGGCGGGGCCGGGAGCGGGGGCGCCACTTGCGTCCGCTTTTCTCCCAGCGGCACCACGCTGTCAGCGGGTGGCGGGAACGGTAGCGTGCGGGCGTGGGGCACAGCGGAGAGTGACTGGGAGGCCACGGGGTCCGCGGACAACGTGGTAAGTTAGAAGATTATCCAGATGCGTAGAAAATGGAGGGTTTTGTCAGCAACAAACGAGTACACGGAACAATATGCTCACCGGCGCATCGTCTGTCTGCTAGGAAAAGGCGGCATGGGAAGGCTATTCTCAACTGCCAACGAAATACGTATACGTCAAAGTACTGAACAACGTTTTCAGCTTTGAGAAAACATGGTCCCTTGTCCACACTGCCGGGTATCAATAGAATCGCAGAAAGTGGCGAGAGTGAGGATATACTACAGACGAAAGAGTGCGCAGTGATCCTGATCACAGGAGCATATAAGGAAGGGTAGCCGTTTCGACAGCAGGGGTCATCAAGTCAACTTGAATGCCGGGGGCTTTTCATAGTGTACGTTGCTTTTCTTCCTCCACGCTACCGTGCTCCCCTCCGTCCGGAATGTGTTCGAACCTCATCGTATACTCGGGCATAAGGTGTCGGGATCGGTCGTGGGCATGGACTTCACCGCGGACGGGCGTTTCTTGATGCTCAACTCTAGCGGAATGGACATGATCGTGATCAACGCCGAAACGTGCAAGAAAGCTTCGCCCAAGGACATGAAAGTCCTCCGGTGAGCATCAAGGAAACAACTCGTATGTCCTGGTCGTACGCGGTGTAGACTACTACTCCGCCCCCAACCGTCTGCGAACATGATATAGTAAGACATCAGCCCCACGACAAGGTACTCCTTGTCGTCCTCGTGGGTGTACCCGAACCAAACTCCGACAGGGGCGAGGGAGAGGGCGGGGAGGTGGCCACCTGGGCGACGTCCACGTGCACCATGATGGACGGGAAACAGGCAGCCTGGTCAACCTTGCTATCGTCGGCGGAGAACGATGGCAACGGCGACAACGACGCCAACAGCGGAGACATCGCAATAACGGGATCATCGTCGCCATCTCCACTGGCAGCCACCCTGACCGGTTCCGACCTGGTTCGGGGGGGCGATGCGCCTGTCCTGCTTGCGTCTGACAGTCTCGGTCGTGTAGGGCTCCTTCGCTACCCGGCTAAGCTTCCGCCCGAGATGGCGCCTCCCGGCGATGCCGACGCTGCGGGTGCCGCTGTCCCCTCGGCGGAGGAGAGCGCTGGTGGAGAGGAAAAGGCCGCTGATCCTAATGCTCCACCGCCACCTAGCCCGGAGGAAGTGGAAGCTGCTGCTGCGGCGGCGGCCGCCGTCATGGCCGAGGCCGTCGAGGCTGCTGTACCTCGGGTGTGTGCTGTCTTTCCTTGTCTTACTGGATAGACCAGCACCAATATAGGATACTGCTTGTGTTGTATTTCGAGGAGGAGCTCTACGCACCGGTACTAGAAACGCTCCCTCGGGTATTCCTCTGTGCTACAGCTGCAATGTTCCACTATGCACTTCCTATATTCTCTTCATGATCTATTTCTCCGAACACCAGTAACATCATGTCTCCACCTTGTACTGCTACTATTTCCCCCGTTCTGATGCCTCACAGGTTTCCACCTTGAAGGCCCACGCGGGGAAGGTAGCGGCGGCGAGGCAGATCGGAGACGGCGGCGGGGTCCTCACGCTAGGAGCTACTGACAGGTGAGTCAGAGATTTTCGGCGGTGCGTTGTCCCGTGTGAGCTGGGGCTGTCTGTGAGAAGACTGTGGGAAAAATGAACGGAAACGCCGAACGAGCACCGTTGTCTTGAACTTGTGAATGTATTCTGGTGAGACGCGACGCTGGTAACCCGCTTTGACGCGAACTGGGCAGTTATTGTAGTCTTGAACTAACATCTCTAGGTGCAACGAGGCTGACCATCACGATTGAACAAGTGTTTCCCCGAGGGAGAGGGTGTAGGTGGATGAACAGCAGTAGGTCGTTGCCTGATGGATGGATGCTATAGCGATCTCTGAGGCAGCCAAAGGTACAAACCATGTCAGCCTTGAAACGTTGAGGTAGTAGCTGTACCTGCCGGAGACAGTCACCAGAAGCCGCTGAAAATCACGCTGCTCCTGCACCTATGACTGATAGCTTGGCAAACAAGCCACATGTGCGCGATGGGTGTTCATGGCTCTGGAAGGAAGAAGAGGGTAGATCATTAAAATATTTGGTGACACAAACATCAAATATACATCTGGGCACAGCTGGATTGTCGGTGAGCGGCGGCAATTCTCCGCGAATACGGCATCGTTGTCTTCGCAGGTGCGTGTACCAGTGGGCCGTGGCTCTGGAAGAAGGGGAGGAAAGCGGCGAAGAGCTCCCGGACCCCCCCGCCTGCAACGCGCCGGTCCCAAAGAAAGCCTCCGGAGGAGAGGACGATGAAGAGGAGGAAGCCGACGGCGGCGACGACGACGAGGAAGGGGAGCAGGTTGCCGCTGCCGCCTGGTCAGGAGACGACGAAGATTTGGTCGGAAACGCCCCGAAAGAGGTGTGCCTAGATGGTCTCGTACAGAATGGAACCATTCGCCGAAAAAGGGCCAGTAGCTTTCGCAGGGTTCTCCTACGGAGTAAACCTGTTGAAATGAAGCATGCAATCGGTGAAGTTTGGTTTGGGTATGGGTTAGGGATCGGGTCTGCATACTCCCTCCCTGTTCTATTTCCTCATGAACTTGATTTCTCGTGATGTCGGCCCGAATATGTGGGGTTCAGGTCAGCGTTCCTGACTTGACAGAGTGAATGAAAACCGGTGCTTCCGTACATGCCGTCGCGACACAGAAGCAAACGGCCACGAACACTAGGATACAGAAGTTCTCCTAGTCGCAAACCGACTTGACCGCACCCCCCGCTGTCTCCCCCATCGCTAGCCTGGATCTAGGTTCGCGACCGGCAGCCAGGACATGTCGGCTTTCCTTAGGCAACAGGCGAGCGCGGAGTCCGCATCGTTGCCCTCCATGTTGCCGTCTTGGCTGGGAGGAGCGGCTGGTTCCCAGCCGGCGCCGTGCATCCCCGACGATGACCTGGAGCTGGAGTGGATCCATGGATACTCGGCGCAGGTGGGTGCATGGTTGGAACCGTAACCCTACTCACACCGGATGCATGCGAGGGTCGCTGTAGATTTGGCATGCCGCAGATATCGTGTCATAAGGGCCAAGGTGTGAGCGGTCGAAGCAGTGAATTGTACTTTCGCCATGCTCAATAAGAGCAATGCAAGCATTTTGTTTTCCAAACCCAGCCACAAGAACATAGCATCGATATTGTCAAAGGATTGCGGTACACCAAACATAGCACCTTTGGCAAAGGTGTCACCGTATCCGCCATTTTCAACAAGCTTGTCTCACCAACCAGGGGTCGAGGCAAAACCTTGTGTACAACTGCAAGGGCGAAATCGTCTACCCCGCGGCGTGCGCCGGAGTGGTCATGACCAAGCGCACCAAGCCGCTTTCGCACAGGCAGACCTACAACCTCGACCACACCCAGGTGAAAAACCCCCTGTCACCTTCTCTGAATCACTTCAACTCCTTATCCCTTTCTTCATCATGTGAAAAAGGACTTTCGCGACATGTCGACAAGAGAGCGCCCCAAGCTACTTGACTGTTTGCTCGTGTTGACGTCAAACATGCCTGCTTCCGCGTTTCTGGACGCGAAGCGCGGAGTACCTCGTCTTGTGTGCTCGCAGTAGGCCTTGAGTCGGGTCTGCTCGCACCGGTCGTCGCAAACAATAATAACACGCTCATGAAAGCCCCTCGTGGTACGAATTGAGCCGTATGTATCGAAAATGGGATATTCAAGCGCGCGCCCGGTTTCGTGACTATTCACTCATCGCCCCAGGCCATCACCTGCTTGGCGATGCACCCCGACAAAGCCCACGTGGCGACAGGACAGGAGGGCTCCTGTCCAATCGTCTTGGTGTGGGATTCCGCGAGTAGGCCCTTGAAGACCAAGGCGCGGCTGCAGCTGGGCGACGACAAGAAAGGAGTATCGCAGGTACGAGCCTGCACTTTATGTTGCGGATGAACATGTTTGAGAGTCTTTCGAACGACGAGTGGTTTGCGCAAGATACCGGTGGCTAAGCCCTCTCTCGTAACTTTCTGTGCTATCACCCACCTTTAAAAGAGAAGGGGTGGGTGGGTGAGTGGGGGGGGTACTCATAGTCGTGCATGCCGTAGTCGTTAGACCATTGACTTCGCATCCCTACAAAGCCGGGACGGAGCACGCCGGGTTCTCACCGGACCAGGCTCTCACATCACCAAGCGCGAAGCGCTGTGAGATATTTGGCAAGTCGCGTGAAGGGTGCGCTACATCCTGCTAAGGGTGTTCGGCATCTTGTGCTTACTTCCTTGCGTACGGATGACAGCTGCGTATGAGTAAATTTATTTTCTGGTGCTTTCACTTCCAGAGACAGTTGTAAGCACTGTGTAACTGCCTCGAGGGTGCTTGACCATTTTAACACAACGTGGCGCGATCATCCCCCTTGCGCGGAGTGAGGCTTCTCGGCCCTGCACAACATGATCTACTCGACCACCATTATGGTTACCGCCAAAAAAAACAGAGGCAAAAACAAGCAACGGTAACCTGGTTGCCGAGTTCACGAAGTGACTTGGCTTGTTTTACAACGTCGTTGCCAAGCGGAGAAAACTCAATCCCGATGTCAAACACCGAGGAGGGGGCTTGTTGTACAACGTCGTTGCCAAGCAACGAAAACCCAACCCCGATGGCAAACACCGGGGGGGGGCACGGGGTGGGTGGGCGGGAGAAAAACTACGACATGTTTGTTACCTTGGTCCGAACTTCGATGTAGGCATCTGTTGCCCTCCTGTCACGCTTGACCCTCCAAAGCGGGCTGCGTGTTACAATTGTACCTACGGCCTTGCAGTATACAGTTTGTATTCCTCGACACGTGGCCCTTGGGTCTATGTAGTGGACACTCGTCTATGAAGCTCTTCCTGCAGGGGTGGCGATACATAAAAAGTGAGAACTCCCATGAAATAACTCGTTTTTTTTCAATATCACACAACGATCAATCTCTTCCATTGACAAGCGTCTGAAAAAATCAGCAATCAATGCATAGCGTCAGCGGAACTACTTGCATTTCTCTCTTTGGGAACCAGAAAACCAAACCAAGACATCCGAACCAACACGCCTCCAGGCCGGCACAACAAGAACCAGATCTGGGAGATGTTCCAAATTCTTTTGTGCACAAAATGCTACAGCATATTCGGTCTTCCACAACAAACGCTCACAAACAAGGAGGCTAAATCACGTATCGGTGCTGAGCATTCAGGCCTGAAGACCCGAAGATGATTCCACGCACCCAGTTGCTCAATGCCCAGTCTCAACGAGAATATTGTTCCTCCCAAGGACTATTTGGCTGCAGTATTTCCGTCATCGCCCCGTCGCTGGACAACATTTGCGATGGCTCCTCAGGTGTGCTTCAGCTCCGATGGGAAGCTGCTGGCTGTAGCGTGCGAGGACAAGGGCCACACAGTCATGGTGTTCCGCTGGGAGTCCGGCCTTCTCCGGTAAGTTGGAGGATAACCAGAGGAACACGTCGAATACACTCGGATTACAACTTCATTGATGTGGTATTATCTCACTTTAAAACTTTGTTGCACTCATGAGGCTTCCCAAGCCCATTAGCGCTCGTTTGCCAACACTTGCACGAAACAGCATATGCCAAGTGTTCACTCCCGATGAACTACGTTTTGCGTATTGCCGCCAACAGGTGCCAGGCTCGGTTGGGGGTCAAGAAGGCGTTGTCGATGTGCTTCAGCCTCAACTCCGACGAGCTGCTGGCCGCTGGGCATAAGCACTTTAAAGTCTGGACGCTTTCTGGAGGCGGGCTCATGCAGGGGAAGCGAGGTCTGTTTGGCTCAGGCTCGAAGGTGAGGAATGAATAACATAACGAATTAATATAGGGGAAGCTCTCGAAGTATTGCGTTGTTCCTTTCCGCTTGACCCCGAGCCGCCGTCTGTGGCCTAGAACAGCCTTGCAAGCACTCACCCTCCCCTGCTCACCACGCTATAAGCACCGATTCGGCTGAACAAGGGACGCCATATCATGAAGTGAACCATGCCAGATCTGTCCCTGGAGAAGGCGTTGGAGCAAGCAATGCCGATGTATTCAGCCCCCTCCCCGATGCGACAGAGCTTTCTACAGGAAATGCAAGTAGATTTGTCTGACCCTTTCGGTGTTTCTTCCGCCGAAACGCTTGGGATATAGGTGCAAGCCCTTACGTGTGCCGCGGCGATATCGAACGGGGAGGGAGGGGGCTCCTCCTTCATCCTGGGTGGCTCCAGCGGCAGCCTGCTCAAGTGAGAACACGCGTGTCATATCACCTTCTTCGTCAGCATCGTACTGATGACGAAAAGCATTTTACCGAGACATAGTCAGAATCTTCACACATACCTTCCAGACGATGTATATCTGGGATCTGTGTACACCCAGAACTCTACCTTTCCACGAAACACCCAACCTATTTCATTTAATGAGTTGAAAAGTGTTACACCGGGGGTGGGTCGAATGAAAAGGATGTGCACTTTGGGGTGGAAAGCTGAATGAAAACTGGAAAGTTCCAAGGTGAGATCGAAGCGCCGACACCTGGCGCTTTAGTCTGGTCAGACAGCACTGATCTCTGACAAAGCAATGATATGTTCCGGCGTTTTCTTCGAACAGGCTCGATGGAGGCCGCAAGGTTTCCTCGGAGATCGAGGGCCATGAGGGACCGGTGTACGCGCTCTATGCCTACCCCGCGCCGGACGGCTCAGGAACATGCCTGGTAACGGGAGGCGGTGACGGAAAGATCAAGACTTGGGACGCTGAGGTGATTTCGAGAAGATGGGGGCTATCTGGGGCCATTGAAAACATCTCGCTTGTGACAACGGATTATACAAAGTACTGTTATGGCGTAGATATCTTGGGACCGGACAGGTATGCGTGATACCTCGTGATCACGAAAAAGTAGCACCCGTTTGTAGGACCCCAAGAGTACGAACGAATGTCCAAGTTAAAGAGGGCATGGTGTGCGGAAACCAGTCATTCATAGCGTTCCCTGGCCGTTCAACGTATTCTCATAGAACGTAGCACGATACGCGCCGTGCCATACGATCTATATGAAGATCGTTGGTCGTTGCGAAGGGTCTGGCGACTTCCCGTTGCACGAAGTTCTTTCAGCCATCAGTTACCGTGATTTGGGCATGCTCCCACAGAATTGACATTTCATGTCGTCCAGCACCTCTGGCATCTGCATCATTCATGACCGATAATGCGAACCATTTTACTACACTACCCCATGCAGACGTTGAGCGTTGCCCATACCAACGCCGGTGACCGAGCAAAGTCTTGTGTATTCGACAGAGTGAAATCACGTTTTCTTGCGAAGCCTATGAGAGAGCTCTATTCACATGATGATTCATTTGCTCCGCCTGGAAAATGGATGAAAAATATTCCTGCAGCTTGGTATGGTGAACGAGTTTGATCTAGTGGGGAGGCCGTATCTGTCGGGCGGGACCCCCTGCGTCCGGTCAGTGTGCCTGAACGACCACTCGGACGGCAGGAAGATCCTTGTCGGAACATCTTGCAGTGAGGTATGAATGTATGCTGCATGGCATGGTGTTCTCATGTTGCATCATTCCCAAGTTTTCGGTTCCTTTTAGATAAACATGTATCAGACCATCGAATGGAAAATCTCGGAGTTAACCTTTCGTCAATGGCTCGGGTCGGAGTCATGATCAGAATGGAGACGAGCCCTTGGGGGCGAGGGGGGGAAGTTACTGGCGAGGACAGTGCAGCAGATGAGAATTGAACCGATGTTTCTTCGAGTAGACACGAACACACATGGACCACCTTCCAAGAAGTCAGGACGAGGACTATCCGCTCTGACCAGACCGACCACTGCCTGGAAGACGCACGCCTGCCTCTAGCAAGTATGTGGAGGAGATGCAATAGCGATATTCGAGAGTGCATTTGAATTGTGCATGGACGCGATCATCGTACATGCTCCACTCAGATTTTCGAGATTTCCGCAAGCGAGGGGACAGACGTCAATGACGGCGACTGCCTGATGCGGGGCCACTTCCGAGACCAGCTATGGGGTCTTGCGTCGCACCCAGCAAAGGTGTGGTTTTGCGTAGTACGTGTTTTCCTATAGAACATGGTAGCGATTGGACAGTATTACCCTTTCGATATCGGCAGTACAACTCCTGTCAAGGCAAGTTCGTGTCTCTGGTCGATATCAGATGTTGGTGTGTTCACACGTTGTACCTGCTCTCCTTGGATGCCACACAACGTTGATGTCTCTGACGGTTTGTTTTGAACGAGAGGCAGCACCTCGATTCCTAATCCGTGTGAAACTGACTGACACAGCCGCTGTACGTTAGCTCGGGCGATGAAGGCATGGTGAAGGAGTGGAACGCGACGACCCTGGCTCTCAACAGGGAGATCGATCTCGAAGGTGAGGATACACGACGGCGTGTGGTATAGAGCTACGCTCGTCTCGATCAGATTGAAGAAACACCACGGTCTTGGGCGAAAGCTTGATTTTTTCCTCTTCAGAGTGAGTACCTCACTTGATTACTCCGGAGTGCGTGAAAACAACACGTCCATGCTCAAGCAGTGGAAACTGGAGGTTGCCCTCAAACGGTTCTACCTGTGTGTGTAGAATTTCACCCTCAGCGAATGTTGAGCCCACGTTTTTGAGCCGATCTGAGAGGGTGCCCTCGTGTGTTGGTGGCGTTCAGGCTGGATTCGCGCTGTACGATACTCGCCCAATGGCTTGCTCATCGCCTGCGGGATGGGTGGGGAAACGGAGGCAAACGGCAAGCGTCACTCGCCGAGGGAGGAAGATGGAACGATCAAGATAGTCTCTGGTGAGGATAGGGTCAGCTGAGGGTTTGATGAGGGCGCTTTGTGGGGACAGACCCGTGCTCGATTTGCGTGGCATGTGAACGCTGTCATGGTCGTCATTTCGCAAGGTTCTGTCTAGTCGAACACCCTCTATTCATTGGATGCCCTCCGCCAATTAGGGCAACCGGATATCCACCCCCGTTGGACCCCACACCCGCTGAAAGTGCCGTTTTGGAACAGCGTACGGTGGCAATCGAGTCGAATTAGCATGGTCCGTACCACCGCCGGTACCATTGGAGAAATGCGAAACGTTGGTGATCCTGCGAATGGATGCCAAATGAGCCGGCTTTTGTCTTGAGGCTTCCCGCATAATACACTGAACGGTTTTCATGCGTGGGTTCGGTCCTCGACTCGAACCCGCACTTGAAATCTCGATAACCTTGTTGAACACAGGCATGGAAGAAGCCTTCCGCGTCGTGAACACCCTCTCGGATGCCCTGGGGCCCATCACGTGCATCCGCTTTAGCCCGGACGGCAACCGAATGGCGGGTGCGTCTCTCGACGGCAACATCTACATCTACTCGGTGCTGGAGAACTTCAAGCTCGAGGTATGCTTCCATATTGGCGTGTGATTGGCTTCTGCAATAGGGGATATGGTCTTCATCTCAAGGAAACCTTCGCTGCTCAGCGCACCAATGTAGCAGTAACTCGATTGTCCGGCATCATCTTTAGTGGCAAGCGCCACAACGCCTTGTTTGTCGTGTGACTCCCCATGCCCTGCCTGAAAAAGCAGCGTGTGTGAAAATGGGTATCCAGCTCACTCCGGTATGCCCCGCGACAAATCGCCAATAGAAACCTCTGACGAGACCGTTTGTGGTACGAATACGCTTGACGGGCGCACGAAACCAATCAAGCAAGGTGTCGTCCTCGGACCAGGCTGACGTTTAGCGAGGGAAGTCCCTCCTGCTGTAGGAAACGCACGTGGGACATTGTCCGTTCAACAATCATGCATGTGGACGTCTGAACACGCTGCAAACCTTTGTGTCCCGCACCCATCGTGGAAATCGCTACTTGAATTCAGTGCATCGGCGAAGGGGGCCAGGGTGGTATACTGAGGATAGACTTCTCCAGAGACGGCAATTGGATACGGGCCGAGGCGCGGAGCAAGCCTGAGGACGCGAAAGCATCGCCGCTTGCCATCATCCTCCTTTCAGCGTCTTCAGGAGAAATCTGCGAAGATCAGGGGGTGAGATTTTCCGGCTGTTCTTGGGTGCTGGACATCACATCACGGCACGACCTGAAGTGGTTCGCAGTTCTTCTTCTTCGGCCAGATCTCTCTCTTTCGCAACCCTTTCCCGTTCGCTTGCCCCGTCGTACTTCCTTCCCGACCGTTTCTCTCTCGCAGAAAATGTGTAATTTTGTAGATCGTCGACTGCGTACACCGTTAGGGAGCGAAGCAGCCCGCTGGCTGCATCTGCGTTCCCTGGGGAACATTCGCCACGGGAAGGCCGCGATTTCAGCAGGGCGATGTTTGTACGAAGAAATGACCTTCTTGTGCCGACACAGTGCTCTTGGTTCTCTCGCGAGACGTGAGCACATTGAAAAAACAATTGCTGATGCCTCCCGCGCTCGGCACAACGAACAGGTCGTGGATCCTGTGGGCGGGTTTTTCACGTGGTCTGGGTTGTGTAGCGACCACGTGAGTGGTTTGTGGCCAGCCGATACAACCAGTCCCCTGGATGTGACGTCGTGCTGCCGCTCGCTCGAGGGAAATCTCTTAGCGACGTCCGACGCTCGCGGCGATGTCAAGCTCTTCAGGTGAAATCGAATGAGATGGGTGGATCCTAGGGTAGCGGTGAGGACGAGATGAAGGAATGGACGTCTGGCTGTCGGGTTTAGAGGAGGTCTCGGTTATCGAATGCGCTTTCTGTGAGTTCGAATGCAACATGGAAATAAATTTCCTGTTGTTGCGGGATGTAATCATTCTGTCGTTGTTGCACTGCGGGGGTCGGCATTCGGAGACGCTCAGGTGGACGAGAATCACTTCAGCAAGCTTCCCTTGCAAGTGATTTCTCCTGCATATTCATGTTTTCTTGGACATCTACATGTAGGGCTTCGCTTGTCACGTTGTGTGTAAACTGGTGTGAGCAGCAACATGAGGGAAATTGTTGCCAAGGCCGGGCAAAAACGAAGCTGTGACGAAAATCTACCTGTATTGAACAACCTTGGAGTCCCATGCCCGAGCTGATATCAGAACAGAATCCACGCTGCTGAAGGCAACAGCCAAACCACGTGATCTTGGAGTCAATTCATCACTGATGCAGTAGCTGTGCACGCTTGTTTCGTCTTTGACGAATAACCGGAGCAGGTACCCCGCCACCGGCGCTGGCGCCTCCTTCAAGGCGTTCAAGGTTCATGCCCCAGGAGTGCGGTCAGTGTGCTTCATCGGCAAGGGCATCCGCAGCCAGCAGGTCATCTCGGTCGGGGGGAAAGACCGCTGCGTCGCCCAGGTAGGAAGGTAGGAGGGAGTGACGGCACAATACGCTGCACGAGCTCTCAAGTTTAGGTTGCATATGTATGTCGCCCGACGAGCACACAGGTCGATGTTGTCCTTCTTCGTCCAAACGAGTCGTTTGGTGGCGGACTCTCGATACCCACATGGCGTAGCCGTCGGCAAGCTGGGGCGCCGACAGGTCATGAGTGCTTGAAGCCATAGATCCCCGTCGGCGGTTTACAAGTGCCCCTAATCCAGCTCCGCTCCACCAGATCCCGAATGGGTATTTCTGGCGCTTGGAAGCCACCACCGACGACGACGATGCTCTGCGCTTTACGCTGCCGCATCGAGGGCTGCATTCCCGCCTCTGGACGCCATATTCGCTGGAATGCACATCTGCATCATGTTGTCCAAGAGTATTTGGATTCGCTTTAGTTCCGGGTTTTGCGCCTTGTGAATCGCGTCGAAGGTGGCAGGCAGCATGGGCTCGTATGAAGATGATTCAACCCACTCGCGAACGTACCTGACGAGTCGCGTCAAGTCCTTGCCGAGTACCGTCGCGAGCTCATCGCGCCAGCCGTCGTCCGCGTGAAGGCCGTGGCGCTGCACAAGGTGCGCCCGAAGCTGGGGGTTGGTTATTGTGAAACGCCGCGGTCAGGGGTTGAAGACGAGCGATGTGCGCGGGCGACATCGTCGGCTTGAGAAGGGTAAAGCCCGTACTAAAGAAGTTGCGCTTGAGGGTGAAGAGGTCTCAAGTTGGGTTTATAGCGGGGTAGTCTTAGAGCTCCCTCGCTCATGGAAGTTGGAGACTTCAATGTCGCTGACATGACGAAGTGACTCGCAAGTCAGCCGAAGTAGTACATTGTACACCGCCGCCCAGAAGGCTCTGCGTGTCTCCGTGTGATTTTGCCCATGTCAGAGTAACGCGCCCCACGAAGGGTCCAGAGGATACGGTTACCCATGTTTTTCTACTGGAAGGACATGGGCTCTGGGCGCTTTTGGTGGGGCGCGTTACCCTGACAAGGGAAAATCGCATGGAGATATCCAGATCTTCCTGGGTGAGGGTGAACAAGATCCTTCGGCAAACTATGAGTAACTTCATCATGTCGGATGTTTTGAAGTGTCGGCCTCCCGTGCGTGTGGGGGTTCCAAGACTATAGTACCCCGGTTCAAGACCAGCTTCATGTCTTCGTCACTTGTCAAGCGCAACTGCGACAGTACAGACAGCGCTCTTCTGAGGTCGCCCATGCCGCGTACATCGCTCATCTTAAAAACCCTGACCGCGACCTTTCACAAAAACACTGCCCAGCTTCGGGCGCACGTTCTGTGGCGCCATGACCTTCACACGAACGACGGCCGGCGTGATGAGCTCGCGACGGTAATCGACGAGGGCTTGGACGTGGTCGTCAGCGACGTTCGCATTTGGGTTGTCACATCTTCGTTCGAGTTCATGCCGCCTTTAACGCGTTTCCAAACGTGCCAATTCCGGAATCCAAGGGAATCCAGTCGCTCGTGGGCGCAGTTGTACTGTCCGGCGAACAGGGCGCCCGGAGGCGAGAATGCAGCGGTCGATCGTGGCAGCGAAAGCGCAGAGAATTTTCCTCGGTAACGGCCGCTTCCAATACGCGTTCGGGACCTGGCGGGGCTGGATCAATGGCCCTTACAAACTACCGGCGGAGAAGTGCGGTTTCAAGCATTCCATGCCTATGTCGGGGTGCCAGCGTGCCAGCTACGGCACTGGGGCCGCGCCAGCGGCCATATCGTCTGTGATAGTGATGATCAACCGTTAAGTGAACAATGGTGATGAATAGGGGCTCAGGTTCCGCCAGTCTATGGTGGGGCCAACCTTTGCAACACCACGCGTAGCAAGCCACGGCTAGAGGCTTCTCGACTGTGGAAAATAGGCCACCAACGCGCCGACGGTATGGCCGTGAAATGTAGATGTTTGCTCCTCAAGGGATATCCGAGCAACCACGTCAGCACGAGTACGGCAACGTATTCGTTGCGTGAAGCAGAATCATCGGGCGGAAACCCGCGCGCGTTGAAAAATATCTGAGCCAACAAACGTGTGGGTATCCCTGAAAATTATCAAGTGAACCTGCAAGTATCCGCTCAGACTTGCGTCTGTTTGTACCACGTAACCGGCAATCACTCATGGGACTGTGGTTCGCGCTTCCCTCACTTGCGCCACCGACTGGTGCGGGTGTTTGTTTGATTTTGAAGTGGAAAGTTATTCACCCAGACGAGGCTGCCGGCTGCAATATGGAGGATGCCTCCAGTGCGGGAGCTGCGGAAAAGGACCCGTGGGTGCAACAGGAGGTGAATGGAACTGCGTTCGCGAAGCGAGACCCAGCCGGTCGAGCGGTGCAGCACCCTCTGTCATTGACAAGTTGTTGCCGGTACTGTTGTTGTGTTGGCAATGTTGTCTGAAGTCGATGGCCAGTCGGTTGCGAAGCCGAGGCAAAGCAGTGGTTGAATCAGTAGTACGCCGTGCTGAATCGGTGATATTCACATAGCGCTTTCCTGAAACGGCGATATTCACTTCGCGAGAGTCCGCCAGGAGAGCGATAGTTTCGAAAGAGAAAGACCCGTGAAACGTTTTCGATCGAAGCAACGTCCGTTGCTCCTCATCTCTGCCAAACGAAACCCTCAGCTGCTCGCGCTGGCCTCTCAACGGGAGTCAGCGGCGCGATCACTGTCAGCACCAACAGCAGCCCGTCCTTGGGAATCCGGAGCGGGTCTGGCGGCGGCAGCGCCGCCCGCTGAACGGTCCCCCCCCGCCGGGATAGCATCGGTAGATCTGGAGTTCGCCCACGGATACAACTCATCGGGGATGGCTAGGTCGGTTTAATAAAGATTCTTCGACCTTCGTGCCGTGTAGTAGCAGGTTGGACACGTGTTCTTGTGCCTCCTGCACGCACGGTGCTGACTATTTAGGACGATTATGCGTTGAGGTGCTGATTTTGTTTGGGTTCTCGCTACGACGAGCTTCGTGAACCAATGCGTTCACCGCCGGCCAGCTTCCCGGAATGCTACGCTTCGCGTTCTACATTCCAGACCCAGGTGTTGTATCGGCAAGACGGTCGAAGCCTCTTTGTAATGGTGTGCCGTAGTTTCTGCCGTTCACTTGTGCAGCATTTTGCACTACCAACACCCGTCTCAACCGCCAGCAGTATTTTCCGATGTCATTTGAGGCAACCCCCGCTGCTGTTGCTTCTCTGCCGCGTTGTCTGTATGTCTCGTTGCTTTCGTTCTCTCCGGCTCTTGTGCGCTTCTCCCTTGTTTCTACAATAGTGGTAGCCCTGCTGCTGTCCCCATTTGCTTTTTCCGTGTCAGTGTGCTTCATCCTTTGTATGGAGTATAGAACAATGTCTCATGGGTGTGCCGCGCTTGTCTGCCATACCAGGAACAACCTGGGTTTCTCCAACTCAGATAGGGTAATCCTGCCGTGCGCTTCGGTCGGAGTGGTGTACGACAAGGTATGCCGTCATCGCACGGTTGCCTAGCGTACGTTTGCATGGTTGCATGAAGCGTGAAGCAGTCGAATCACGTCATTTACTCGGGTTTACAAAGGACCTACATGATGGAGCCTAGAGTGTCTTGGCGCGAGATCTTTCCAAAAAAAAAACGGGTGTAGACGTCAAGGCGGACCATCTGTTGTAGTTGTCTACCGGTGCCTACCGAGGATCATCGTTGGTCCCCTTACAGAATGAACGAGGTGACATGGTCCATCTGAACGGTGGAGGTGCCGACAAAACTAATATGTGGTAGGGCATACCCTCCTGCCCAACCACCATCTTCGACATGCATGGGTCTGCTGCTCTTCGTCTTCTACGGAAGGCCTCCCACTCGCAGGTGCTGTTCGCCGGTCACTGCGGCCGTGTGTCCAGCTTGGCTGTATCACCGTGCGGCCGTTTCGTAGCGACGGGGCAAGAAGGGAAGAACGCCTCCGCCATGATCTGGGACCCCGCCACCGGACACGTGAGGGCGACGTACAACTATATTCATGTCTATTCTGAACTCTCCCTTTTTCCAACAGCACGACTATTCTCGTACTCAAACCAACCAATGCGTGACGACTTTTGCTTGTTCACTGCTCCCCTTTAAATTCCCACACGCGCCTCAAACATTACCCCTTCCTCTTTCTATGCCCAACACCCGTCTAATATCAAATCCCCTCCCCCAGCGAACATGCGTCCTTCCCGCCTCGCTCTTCGGGGCCGTAAGGCGGCTGTCCTTCTCGCCCGACGGCTCGATGCTGTGTGGCATCGGCGCCGACCGCGACAACTCCCTGTGCGTCTGGTCCTCCGCCTCCGGCTCGTGGACCGACGGGGCCAGGGTGGCGCTCGGACAGGGACCCAGGCGCCCCGCAATGTTCGTGGCCTGGGCTGCTGCTGCCGACGAAAAACAAGAGGAGTCGTCGCTCCCGTACCAGGTACGGCGAAGGCGTACCTTGTCCAGGGGCGGGGATCGCTCCTCAGGGAAGCATTGACAGATGTCATGGGGGAATGATTGTTCAGAAGTTGCTTGTGCGCAATCCGATCTTGGCAAGGGGTGGGCGTCCGCTATACATCCGCACGCCCAACCGATACATAGCTTGGGACAGGGTCTCAAAATGGGGGGGAGGAGCCGTGGCGACGGGCTGAGATGCTCGCAACGTAGGCGGGTGCGGGGGCAAATGCGAGTCTCGGTCCTTGTCAATCAATCGATGTGCTGGAATCGTAGCTACCGGCAGCGGGAGCAACGTGCATGGTCTTATGCACCCCACGGCTCTTCTCGCCCCCTAAATGGCGTCAAAACATTGTACTTTCCCGTTCGCTGCGGCCTTTGTCGACTCTCAAGAGACAGCACTCAATAACCAACAGCCTGACGACTACGAAGGGCCAACCATTCAGCCCGCTGCCGAACACGACATTTCGATTTTCATTTTGCTTCGTGTCGTCATCGCAAGCACGATCGACCCTCGAACGATTGAAAGTGATCAAAATACCTCGAGCTTTGTCAAGGACTCTGTACACGCAATGTTGAATGTTGAAATATTATCCGTCCTTGCCTTTACACCCCGCCAAACCACAAAGGTTATGACCGGCGGCCAGAACTACGTCGTCTTCTGGACCCTGCGGCCGAACCTGTCGTCCCGCCTCGGAAACGTACGCCGCAGCTGTCCCCCGGCCGACAGCGCCTCCGCTACCGCCGCTGAAAGCTCCTCAGAGGCAGAGCGGGCGCCGGCGTCAAACGAAATGGTTTCTGAGGCTACCAAGCCGTCGGCGTTCTCGTCTGCCGAGAAAGCGATGGCAGAGACCTTCACCTGCGGCGTGGCCATCGGGTGCGGGGGAGGGAAGGCCGGGTCTGCGTCGGCCGGAGGTGCCGGGGAAGAAGCGGCGGGAGCTGTTGTCACGGCCGTGACAGGCACGGCCAGCGGCGCGATCGCGGTCTGGAAGAACCTCGAGTGCGTGAAGATGGTGCTGGGGGTGCATGGTACGTAACTTGTTCGGAGGGGGTGGGGCGGAGGGGTGCATGTGACAAAAACGTTGAAAACCGTACTTTTATAGAGCCAATCGCGTGCAGAACCACAACCAGCTCAACCCCACGAACGGGAAGAGGCGACCATTACTCGAATCCCGCTAGACACGGGGAAGAACAACAAGATCATTCCTCCGCGGTGGCGTTCTTTCTGCTTGGAAAGCTTGCCGAGCCTTTGAAAGTCTGAGCTCGTGCCCGAAAACCCGTTGCTTGCTGGTGGTTTTCCCGACATGTTGCGGGTGTTCTCCCGGATGTTGCGGTTGTTCCTTACTTCCGATTGTCCTCAGGTGCGACGGCCGTGCTCTGCTTGAGCCCCACCTACTCCGGCGGGTTCGTGTCCGGAGGAGCCGATGGCAACGTTTGCGTCTGGGACAACCAACTCAACGTCAAGGGCTCAATCATCACCATCCGCCAGGTGCACTTCTCGTACTACGTATTGGAATTTGCGATGCGTGGTCTCGGGGAGCTGAGGATGCGTGGTTGTGTTGCGGTGTGGTTGTAAGTGTTGTTGCAGCATGCTTTGATCACTTCTCTACCTTCTACGAAAACCAAAGGCCGCAGCCACGAGCCAGGTTCAAAACTGAGTGTACAAGGAGCACACAAAACTCTGTTTGATACCACGCGTATGTGTAATAATCAAAGCCTCCGAGAGGGGAGCCCTTTCTCAAAACATGCGTTGCACCCGTGAGCGTGAAGCACCTCGTGAAGGGTATTACCCCGTGCTACCACAGGTACTTTGACATCGTCGTAGGTTGTGTCCCCGAGGGACCGAGCCTCACGCCGTGCGTGCTTCATCCGGTAGATCCTCTGCCAACCCCGCGCCTGCAACTACTGCCCGCCGTCATCCCGTGATCACGCGCACTGGCCACAAGTCTCCCTGCCCACCGTCCGTCCTTTGTGTGTGGGTTGAAAACGTTGATGGTTCTGCAGGAGGGCAGCCCGTCGGAGGCCGTGCGAGGGGTTACCGTCAACAGGAAAGAGAGCAACATGGCCTGCGGCACATCATCGGGTCGGGTGATTGAGGTGGGGGGGAGAGCCTTGAGAAGTAACACACTTGTACATTTACCCCACTCGAAGCCTTCAACGCCAAAGGTTGCCATAACAGGTTGTTGATCCTTTCCGTGTGAGCCTGGTTGGGTTTGCACCTCTGCTACTCTAGTTTGCTCTGATGGGTGCCACGCACCTGAAATGGTTTCGTCCACGCTCGAGCGCAAACACACCTGGTGTATACATTATTCCTTACGAGCTTTCCGCGCGCCCCCCCTCCAAAAAATCCTTTCGTTACCCAGGTTTCGCTCGACTCCGGCGACACCGCCGTCCTCGTCGACGGCCCCGCTCCGGGCCTCCCCCCCGTTGACAACGCGGCCGACGCCGCCGACGCCGCTGCTGCGCTGAACCACACATCCGCCGCCGTAGCCGCGAGCCCGAAGGATGCCGACGTCTTTCTGACCGCGGCGCCCGACGGCTACCTGCGGAGGTGGTCCGCCGCGGGGCGCCGCCTCACCGCCAAGCTGGCCGTCGGTGCCACGATGGCGGCCGTTGCGGCCGGGCCGGCGGCGGTCGCGGCGGCCCCGGGGATCGGTGCGGTGGAGTGGACCCCGAAGGGGTCGTTCGCGGTGTGCGGGCTTACGACCGGGGACATCGTGCTCGTGTCCCCTGACGGGGACATGTCGGTGCTCTCAAGGTAGGGCGAGTGGGTTTTCTGGGAGGTATGTTGGCACTGACTGAAGGCGATCGAGGGGGTTGAATAATTGCAGGTGTTTATCACGGATGGTAGGTTGGTGGTAGGAAAAACGCTGCCAGTGGTCTCCGACAGCGGTGCTCTCTTCAGGGGCACCTAGCCGTACCTATTTTGGAACCGTCTTACAAGACCCACGCCTCCCGCTGGCGAAAACGCGCATCAACATTCAAACAATCACACAGTCACACCCCCGCATCACAATGGCAACCGCGCTCTCCTACCTTCCCCCAACACAACTGCGTTCGACACAGGTGCCCCAGCGACAAGAAGCCGAAGTCCCCGATCAACGCCATCGCGGTATCCCTGGACGAGGCCACCATGGCCGTCGGGTGCGAGGATGGCTCGCTCCACGGCATGAAGCTATCGCAGGGCGGCATGGGCGTCCAGCACGTTTGGTCGAAGCCGCCGCCGGACGAAGCGGCGTCCGTTCTCGCGATGGACATTTCTGCGGATGGCAAGGTGAGAATACGGAGAGGGTGATATGCGAGTGGACGGGGCGATGAGGGGGTGACGGCGTTCGACTAATGCAAATCGTGTTCAGCTCCATCTGCCATCCTGGCAAGACGCCCGTTCAGAATCCGATATTTCTCACGCGACAGATCCAAACAACTCAAAGCTATGTCGGGGGCTACTCGAGTTGTTTGTACGACCGTTTCCAAAACGTGGTGCACTTGATTTGGAATCCGGGTAAAAGACTTGGAAGTACTAGAGTGTGGTGAGATCGTAAAAGGGTGAGTTTGAGCAACCCCGTTGGGCGATGACCCTGGAAGATCTTCTGAATGGGGTCCTTCTCTATTCCTTGGGACCGAGCATCTATCACCATTTTCGGCGGCCAAAACCTCCTCCGATCTAACCTGCTTTCGACGGCTCTACTGCATTGTTGAACAGAATGCCCGATATGAACGTTGATCACGGGCCCTCGACAACCTCAAACGTTCTTGTTGATGTTTTATCTCGTTGTTCCGCTCCGTGGTGGTTCTTGTTGCGTACGTGGGTATTCCATGGTTGTATTGCTCTGGGTTGTAGACTAGTGCTGCTATTGTTGTTGTTGGTAATGACGACGATGTGGTTGTTGTCGGTATAGGTGTTGGTATTTCGTGGCAGATACTCATTTTCGCAGCCGCACACAACGTTGTGCCCTACTCCGTCAATGATCCGCACCAATCCCGCCCACAACGTTTGCTCCCAACGTCACACTCAAACCCCTACCCGCGTCCCTCTCCGTATACATACGAACACATCCAGATCTTCCGGTACTGTGATGCGAGGGGAGCTCTCTCCTACGCAACCTCTGCCGGGGATACCATGCCCGTAGCTCCTTTGGGGGACGAGGCATCCATCTGGGCCAGCAGCAAGTGCTTCGTCGGGCACTGGGGAGTACGCGGCGCGTCCAACACCGGTGAGCGAGACGCGAGTGACGCTCCAAACAGGAATGACGCGCGGACGCGAGGTTATCGCTCTGCGTGTCTCGTCGATGCTCATGGTTTGTGTCATCCGGATGGGCTCGTGGTGCAGAGACATATGCGTTTGGACTGGTCGCGAGAGAGGGCATCCGTTCGCTGCATGTTACGCTCGGAAAACACTCACTTATTGTTCTGTGCAAGGTTGCTTATTCCGCAACCTCCGTAGGAACAATCAAGTAGTCTACCGCTCCACCACGGAATCCCAACAGTTTCGCCCTTGCTCCTTGTTGTCTGTTTTGCCCGAAAACAGGTTCAGGCGTTGAGGCCTCGGCTTCAGGCCGATCGCACGGCAAGGACATCCTCGCCGCCTGCTCCGACGCCGCCGCCATTGGCCTGTGGCGCTACCCGGCATCTCAGGTGAACCAAGGGACATGGCGTGCTCCCTATGGCAAGGACCGAGGTTTTTGTTTTTTTCGCTCTGCAGCGTGGAATGGTCTACAACGGGTGTTATTTCCGTGCCCTCTTCTGTGGATAGGAGGGGGACAAAGAAGTTGGTGCTTGGGTCGTCACTTGTAGGCATCTGGCTCAACCTGTAACCACAAGCCCCATGGTTCAGAAAAGGTTCCCGATGTCGCATGCGTCAGATACGATGAAAATAAAGAGGTTCACGCTCTAACGCCGAATGATCGCCTACGCTGGCCGCTCATTTTGTGATGCGCGCAGGAGGGGGCGGCGTGCGTAAAGGGAACCGATGCCCGGGTGACCGCACCGGTGGCTCTTGCTTTCACGGCGGACGATTCAAAGCTCATCGCCGTGGGTGGACACGATCACTCCGTGCTGCAATGGGGCATATCTCGCTCCAAGTGAAGTGGAAACGGATGGTGGACATGCGTTGATTGTTCTTCATGTGCCGTCAAGAATTTGGTCTTGCCCAAGCTGTTCTTAGCAAGTGAACGAAATGGCTTGTGCGCTTCACGCCATGGTCTGGCGGAAGGTACTGTGTTTTTAATTCGGATGTACCAGGAGCTGATACTCCTTTCTAGATTTTGCTTGCTTGGAAAGAACTGTTTTGTGGGGCAAAACACGTACGTAGTCAAGCGGTTTTCCTCAGAACAACAGATCATCGCACTCGTTAGCTTAGCGGCTGTAATCGTCCTTCAGACAGATAAGGAAATTGTGCACAGTGTTCGGGGATGTCTTCGTTCTACTTTCGAGGCTTGACTATCTTTATCCCGAAAAAGGAGGAAAGCTGTACTCGTCCAAAGCAGTAATGAAAAATACGTCGTTGTACACGTGGCTGCTGTAGGGGGATGTGCCTCGCTCGGGTAGCAATGACCCAACATTGTCGTCCGGTCTGCTACTATTGCTGCGTTCATGGGTGCGAGGGAAGACGTGATGAAATGGGAGGAACGGCCATGACTCGGTGTTCGCTTGCGCTGGGACGTTTCGACGAGTTATTGACTGTAGCGGCGAAAGAGTAACGGTGCGACGTTCTCTGCATTCTCTCGAACAACATACTGACATCTCAAGACGATTCCCTCCTTGTACTTTGGGCACCATGCCACGCAGATGTTCGGCGCAACAACAGGTACTTGCTGCACAGTTACTAGTTTGCTCTTGTGCTGACTTCCGCCGGCAGTCCGCCCTCGTATCTCCGAATTATTACGTCATTGAATCTCCTGTATCCACCTCTTGCTTACATGCAGTGCACAGAGCTGCGCAGATAGAACCGTACGCAGCTTACACAAGCGCCGGGCAAAACACGATCCATCGCGGCACATGCCTTGCTTCGGTGACCCCGGCGCACGCAGACACCACCAGTCACACATTATCGCCGCCAACCAGTCAGGAATGGGTCATATATCGCCCCATCCGATGTTTCAGATACGCTCGATGCATACAAACCCATGCGGATGCCTCTGTTGAGCTGGGCCTTGGTCGGAGCCAACAGAAAAGATAAGTTCAGAAAAGAAATGTCCCAGAGGCCCTGGCGCTCATCACGTGGTTCCGTAGTTGACGGCGGTAGACCTTTGAGAGTTCTCAACTATTCAGCATTATTCGGCTTGATTAGTCTAGTCCTCCTCTAGTGTACGTAATATACACGGGAAAAGGATCTCACGGATAAATCGAGTATACGGTACACGTCCATAGTCTACATGGCTCCGCTCGCCCAGGGGGGTGCGGGCTGCGCATATAAGCACGGGGATAGTGTAGCAGTGGAAAATGCAAAGTGGTTAAAGACAGCGCTCAGAGGTGAATGAATGTAGACTAGACTGGCGCCGAACGTATTGATGCAGCATGTATTGTGAGTGTGATGTACTTCAAAAAGTGTGATGTGAAATTGGCCATCAGTTGGTATGTCTCCTAGCACCCGTTTTTTGTGTGTTTTAGGGTTGCGGTTAACGTCAGGGTTTTCAGACGGCTTCTTGCCCCGGCGAAAAGCAGACAACCTTGTTTACCAGATATGCGAGTTGTAAATCGATTGGCTTGCCGGTTGAAGGTAAGTAATTAAATGTGACGAGATGTGACGCTCCCTGATGCGGGTTCAGTGTGCAGCTATGTAGTCCGACCGCTGTGTGCAGGTTGGAGCCGCTTCGCTTCCTCAGTCTGTTTCCGTCCTTCCTTATCCTTCCTTCTTTCTCAGTCGCTCGCTATCGCTCATTCCCAGGCAACACCAGGGCAATGCACGGCAGGCAGCACACTGAGCAGGGGGAACGCTTGCGCATCGCTTGCTCCTGCTAGAACCATTGTACCGCTACCTGCCTAAAGTCGGAATACGAGAAATCTGGACAGAGGTCGGGATACCGTAATAGTCGGAGAGTTGGCACCAAGTGCGATCGTTTTGTTAAATGTTTTTTCCTCGGGTTTTTTGTCGCACCCCGGTGCCGTCTCTCCGACCGGTGCCATCTCTCCAACCCCGGTGCGAAAATGCAATAAAACCATTTCGTTTAGAATTTCAAGGCACCCAGGTGCGATCTCTCCGACCGGTGCGATCCCCGATGAAATACATACACACAGGTGTTGCACCGCGGTGCGATCTCTTCGACCGGTGCGATCCCCCATGAAATGCTATTGATCAGCATAGAACCACACGCACGTAGGTACCGTTGTTGTTGGTTGGAAGCACACCGGTAACGGCAACGTAGGCTGGTACGTAACAGCATCCATGCAGCAAATGGTCTTGTGTTCGATGCGAGTTTAGCTATGGCGTGACAACAACAAACGATGTCGTTTCCATCTGAGGTGGAACCAGTCTACACACGGTATCAATTGCTTCCGGGTTTCGTTTCATTCTTCTTCGACGGATACCTGCACGTACGCAGCAGTACATACAATAGTTGCGGGTTGTGTAAGGTGGGAGTGCGGCTTGTACGCTTTGTGTTTGGTTGAGTGTACGGTTCGAAACTTCCATACCAATCAAAAAAGTGAAAACAACTGGCATCCCGCGTGAACCGCGACTATCCCATTGTACGGAAAGGAGTGACGCTCCGCTGACACCGTCCCCACGTGTAAAAGGTAAAAGGTACGCCCATGTACCTCATTCCGGCTGCTGAATAGGAGCTCAATCTTGGATTTGGGGGTCGGAAAGATCGCACCCGGTGTGATTTCCCCGACCCCGGTGCTTCAATTGATTCAAATGTTTTTTTCTCGGGTTGTTCATCGCACCCCGGTGCCGTCTCTCCGGCCGGTGCAGACTCTCCGACTACTACGGTATTCCAAACAGTCCCTCTTCGGTATGTTGCCGGCTTGGTAAGTTAGTCTATATATTCCTGGCAGATATACCCGCCCAGATGGTAGCTTAGTCCACGGGTCCAAACACCATAACATAGTTACCGTAGACGACACGATGAGCCGCCTCCCCAAGCGCATGCTGTTAGGATCGATGGCGGGGAGCGTGGGATACCGGGGCGGGCAGGAGAGCGACTGGGTGTCTCGTCTAGGAGAGGATCTCGTGGCCTTCAACATGGGAGACGAAAAGGAAGGGGGGAAATGAAAAGAGCGCGCCAAGGACCCGGAGGTGTGGTACAACAAGGTCGAGGACGGGGCGACATGGCTCATCATGAGGAAATGGCGCAGGCAGGAGGCGGAAGCGTCCGCGAAGCGCCAGCGCGCGAGGGAAGCAGAAGCAGAGAGTACGGCCATCTCAGAACCGAAGAGAAAGAGAGTCGAGGAAGCGGCGGTGGGGAGGAAGCAACGGCGACCGGGCACTGCTGTAGAAGCGAGTAGGGCGGCCGAGGCAGCACTTGTGGCGAACTATGTACCCGGCTGATGTTGTTGCGCCCTGTTACCCTCCCTGCTGTATGCTATACTCCTTGATGTATGTCCTTTGTATTGCCTTCGGCCTCTGTGCTGTGTTTCTTTTTTTCATGACCTCCCTGCCTACTCTGCTGTGCTGGGTACCTAGATCTCGCTTTTGCTGTTGCCTTCGTTTTTGTACGTCTGGCTGTCTGCCCATCTGCCGCCTCTTTGTCCTGTTTGCTCCGTTACTCCCATGCCATGGTGCGTAGTGCCTGGTGCTGGTACGTTACCCTTTGATTTTTTCTTTCGGCGGGTGTGGGAAGCGTCCTCCTTTATTTTTTTGTTGTATATATTTTGATCGCTTTCCGAGGGCTCTTTTCTCGAACGGTCAGTACGATACCTGTTCTTTTCTTTCTATCATTTTGTTTTCTATTTCCGAGTGGTTTGTACACTATTTTTGTTTTGTTTCCCCGCGGCGTCGTATGTGCCGGGTTTTGAGACCACGGGCTCCCCATTTTTTGTGGACTACAGAGCTAATGTGAGAAACAACAACAACAACAACAACAACGACAACAACAACAACAACAACGATAACAAACCCACAGAAGAAGCCACACCCCCCACAGAATACGACACCCTGGTGATAATTTTCGGCGTTTCTGACAAACCATCGGTTTATCACGGGGGCTACATAAGATAACACACCCCTTGGAGTTACGCCGCAGGCTCCTCCGTCTACATATCGCCGGGGTGATACAACATCGGCCGCCTGACCATGTGGGTATCTCACACACACAATATCTGCGTGACTCTCTATTGGTCGTGTACCCAAAAGCAAGGTATGCAGGCGCCTACTTTTTGTGCGAGGGGGCAGGACGGATGGCGCACTCTGTGGCCAGTGCTCAGGAGTTTCGTCACCTCCGTTGAGCTCCCTTGTTTTACCACATTCCGCAGAACCACAAGTCATGAAGTGTTCGTACAGGCATTGCTATCACACCCCCGCAATACCAACCAGCGTGCGGCAGCAGCGGTTCATTTCTACAAGAAATGTTAACACCTTTTTACTACGCCCCCTCATTACTATCACACCCCAAACACACCGTTTGGGTATTCGGACGTGCTAGCACACCCTCATTTATCACACTCCAAACACACCCTGTGGGTGTTCGGACATGCTATCAGCCTCCCTACAACAGCTATCGTTCGGGACGAAAGTCAACCAGCTCATCGCGGATGTCACGTGGCCGGACTCCCTTGAAATTCCGGTATTTGTCGCAAGCTTCAACCAACCCATCACGGATGTCACGTGGCTGCCCTCCCTGCGGCACCTGTCGCTGGGGTACTCATTTAACCAACCTACGGAAGGAGTTTTGTGGCCAGAGTCTCTTGAAACACTTACGGCCGGGGGCCGTGCCCTACCTATCGCCCGAGGAAGGCAACCGACCGTGGAGTGAGTGCCGCAGGGGGCGCGAAGCATGACAATCACTCCTGCTCGGGGCTGGTTCCCAAGAGGGTTTGTCGATGCATTGCCTCACGGATATAGCGGAACGACTGCAGTAGGCGGTATTACCTGGGGTCGTCTACTTACTCACTCACGTACGGGAGATATCTAGCGCTCCTTCCACGCATGTTTGGTTTTGAGTCAGGTTTTCGTGCAGTCTGTTGGCACACGCCCTGTCTTGTTTCAAAGAAGTAAGTTTGTTTGCTGTCGGAGACGGAATATATATAGGGTTTGTCGATGCATTGCCTCACGGATATAGCGGAACGACTGCAGTAGGCGGTATTACCTGGGGTCGTCTACTTACTCACTCACGTACGGGAGATATCTAGCGCTCCTTCCACGCATGTTTGGTTTTGAGTCAGGTTTTCGTGCAGTCTGTTGGCACACGCCCTGTCTTGTTTCAAAGAAGTAAGTTTGTTTGCTGTCGGAGACGGAATATATATAGGGTTTGTCGATGCATTGCCTCACGGATATAGCGGAACGACTGCAGTAGGCGGTATTACCTGGGGTCGTCTACTTACTCACTCACGTACGGGAGATATCTAGCGCTCCTTCCACGCATGTTTGGTTTTGAGTCAGGTTTTCGTGCAGTCTGTTGGCACACGCCCTGTCTTGTTTCAAAGAAGTAAGTTTGTTTGCTGTCGGAGACGGAATATATTGAAGTTTGTTGTAACAGATCGAGTTGGAAGGCATCTTTGTTGGAAACCGGGGCTACACGTGAAGCACAGTTCGAGTGCCCCCCGAACCTCTCCACCCCAGCGAAGAGAGCACGCGTGCGCTGTAGTCGCCGGCTGTTGGCTGTTGCGCTCGTGAGCGCGAGGGAGGACCACGGAGTACATAAGCATGCCGAAGGATAGAGGCATTGGCCACAGGTGCACCAAAGTCCCTTGTGTCCCTACACACTGTTGTGACTAGTACGGAGGAACATAGTGTTCAGGTCCTTGGCAGTTGGTTGAGCAATATAAGGTCAATTGTTTCGATCTATAGCTTAAACAGACCGTATGGAACAGGCGGTCACGATGAACAAAAAACAAAAAAAAAGTTGGCGATGCCACAGAGAAACGCCTCATTAGTCTATGTCATTTTTTACTTGCGGGGTAAATTCTAGATATGGCGCGAATCCTAGCATATCTCGGCCGTTTTTTCATGCATGTTAACCCACGATGGCTTGAATGAACCGCAGCGTCAACGCCGTCATCGTGAAAAAAAAATTCAAAGAACAAAGTTTTTCCCGAAGAGAAATCGCCACATGTGCCGAATTTTGGCCTTGGCGGCGGCGGAAAATTTGGCCCAGGTTGTTCGATGTCTTGGGCAAATGGCTGCTTATGTCCAACACCCACAGCTCAAACGAACCGCATCACTGGGATCGCCATGCGAGACAAGAAATGCTGAAAGACATGTTGTTGCTGTAGAAAAAATTATCATGTATTATCGACCGCGACACGTCAACCGTGCTCGTTGACGACTAAGCTGCGAGACACCACACAAAACGAATGAAAACAAAGTAACTGTCATTCCCTTGGAACCTGCAACATGCCATGACTCAAACCACCACATTGACTCAGGGGAGAGGACCCCTTCGAGACAGCGATATCCAGAAGCGAGCCTGTCCTGGGGACCAAGTCGTCACGCTGCTGGATAGCTTGTTGCTCGCGCGCCTCTTGCTAGGGCGTACGTGTGTCCGCTTTGATAGTGGGTCTGCGAACATTGTTGTTGAATACATGTGCTGGATGATTTTGTGTCACGCCGACTGGTAAGATAACCGTTTGATAGGGGGCACCGCGATGATTCACGGGGCCCCTCCTTGCTGTGGGAGCCGCTCTTTGAGCACTCCCTCTTTCGTCCGTGTGAAGGACGGTCGTCGACCTCTCGTGAAGTTAATACATCTCCAAAACAGTCTCACCCGATCAATAAGTGGCGTAGGCCGCAAACACTCTAGAGTTTGCCCCTCGAGGGAAGCCACATCGGGATGAGCTCTGCTGGAGACGAAGAGCGCGCTGCTGCGAGCGGAGAACAGATCCGCCC